GTTTGGGACCATTAATATAGGCTATTAGGATCAGAGAAAGCATATTTATCAAGGATACAAATTCAGATGATAATCCTTGCTTGAAAAAATGTGGTTAACATTTCTAAAGTTGAAGTCTTAGAGTACCTTAGTTTTAAAAATCTGTCATTCCAGTTCTACCTTTTCAGAATTCTGACTGATAAACTGAGCAGTACACCAGCTGTTGAATGAGGAAGATGAGCGCATTGGCAATGGAATTAGGAATGGAGTAAAGTTTAGAGCAGCCCGTGTAATTCAAGGTGTCTTTTGTTTGTGGTATCCAGGTAACTGTCTGTACTTGGTAAGAGCCATGGTGCCTGCCTTTATTACAGGGAAAATGAGAGCAACTTCCCCTCATTCTTTTGACTAGGTTTGTCAGGATTGCATATGACCAGAGGAAAATAGTTTTGGTAAAGACCACACAGTGCTTGGGATCAAATTTTATATTTCTGGGTGTTTTTTGGATTTGGGAATGTTTGTATTATACTTAATGGTTGAGCATTCCTAAACCGAAAATCCAAAATGTTCTGGTGAGCAAATTTGAGCATCCTGTTGCCACTCAGAAAGTTTCAGATTTTAGAGCATTTCAGATTTTGGATTTTCAGATTCAGAATACTCAAATCTATTACAGAGAAACATTGAAGAAAGGAGTTTCTTTTCTTACTTGAAGTGTGTTGTATATTGAATAGTGAGGCCGTGCTTGTTATCCTTTCATATGCATAAGGGAGAAAGATTGAAAGGTGTGCATTTAAAGGGTAAGAGGAGGCATATTGCAGGGCTCTTTGTGTTTTCATCAGTCTCTGCTGTGGAGGGTTTTTTTACCTTTATCTTAGATTGTTTCTCCTGAATTTCTGCATTCTATGAATTATTGAAAGATGTTCTTTGTTTTTAATGGAGCAGAAAAGAGAAAGGATATCTGCTGTTAGAGAAATTTATCTCTTGGGTTGTTTCGTGAGGCTTATTCACAAGTCACACCAGAGATAAATATATACATATATGTATACACATGCATAAATAAAATAGTGTGTATACATGCATGTGTGTATTTTCTTTTCCTTTTTACTCTGACAGAGGATTCAAAAGGAGATTACTTTCTGAGAAAAGAGATTTGTTTCACATTATTTGCTGCAAAGCACAAAGGGAGTGTTAAGATTGGCTTTAAAAGGCTCTAGTGTTAGTTACCAGGAAGAGCTTTACTTTGTTGAAGGCACTAAAATTTAATTCAGGAACAGTTAAAGTGTATAAATAAACTAAAATTGAAACCCATACATAAAAGGTATTTCAAATGATAAAAATTAAATTTATCCCTTTTCATCTGTTGGTGTCTGGTGATACCATCCTAGTCCAGGTGTGTCAAATTTTAGAGTTTAAATTTTCCATTTTTGAAGTCCAGCACAGTGGCATGTGCCTGTAATCCCAGCTACTTGGGAGACTGGAGCCAAAGGATCCCTTGATCCCAGGAGTTCAAGTCCAGCCTGGATAACATTGAGACCTCCATCTCCATTGTTAAACCAAAAGAGCACTAATTTTAACATTTAACCTATCATAGTTTTGATGTTAGTAGAAGCCTTAGAGATATGCCGTATACCTTCAAATTTCACAAATAAACTAAGACACAGAGAAATAAAATGATTTAAATATGCTGTTCAGAGTTTATAGCAGAACTAGGACTAGAACCCAGGCCAGTTCTTGCTGCTTCAGTCTCAATAGTTGGGGAGTTTCCGCCCTGGTGTCAAGTCACAGGTTTGAATGCCAGCTCAGCCGGGTTTTTTAATGCAAGTTATTTAATACTCTGTGCTTGGTTTCTTCATTTGTAAAACAGGAATAACAGTACTTAGCTGAAAGATACCATTAAATACAGTAACATTGCTTAATACAGAGAGATTGTTTAGTCGGGGTTAGGTAATATTTTATTTTTATTATCTAGTCTTCCCATCTTAATTTATTTGTCTTACTCTACTTACTGAATGACATTAAATCATTCTTCAAGTAAAGCAGATTTGGTAAAAACAACCACACTAATCTGCACTTTGCTTTATTTTCAGAACAAGAGTCCCTATCAGGTATGGTTTGTTGTATGGGAAGATGTTTGTTTGAATCTTCCAAACCCGCTCAGCATGTCAGTGGCAGAGAGAAGTGACAGGTGCCTGATTTGATCCTTGAACTGAACTTAGATATTAAAATGTTTCAAATAATTTTTTTCAAAGAATAGTAACCAAAATTTATCTGTAAAACAAATTTAATCTCAAGTCAGCTAGTTTAATAAATGGTTTGGATACCCCCAAAATAGAGCTACTAAGTGACCCACTTGTTAGAACTTTCTAGAAGTAAATATTAGGGAAGGCTTGTAGGGATTTTTCTGTAACATTACCAGTTGTCCCTCTTACTCAAGGAAGTTTTATTGGCAAGCTACACCTTGCTTCAGTCTCAGCTTGCAAAGAAAGATTCATCTGTCTAAACATTAATTTTTATTTTTAAATTATCCTGCCTCTGCTGAACAGATTGTCACTGAAAAGTCAGGATAAGTTCTACATATGAGCCTTGGAACAGGGTGATAACTTTGAGTCTGGGAGAATGTATTGCCATGTACATCTGACAGAAGCATCACTTGCCATCTGCAGCCACTGGGCTTTCTATTTCAGTTGACCTGCGGAGCTTAGGGTGTTGCATTCTGTGACCACCCCCTTTGCCCAGTAGTTGTAACCCTTAACCATTTTGAAGAAAACAGTTGTTATTTTCCTGTGGTTTGTTTAATCCTCAGGATTCGGTGGTTTCCTTCTAAGATCACATAAGATCAGCCCTGGTTATTGAACAGTGCTGAGCCAGAGCATGACTCAAAGGGGAATGGAGGCCATTCCATCGTGCCCAAGCGGAATATCCCTCCTCCCTCTCTGCATGGCGTCAGGCTCTCACGTGATGCCAAAATAGGTGATGCCGTGGACAGAGCAGACTCGGGACTGATGTTGACAAATTGAGGAGGGCACTTTGGTTGTTATTATTTGGGATCCATCTAGAGATAAACCAAAGTAGAAAATAGTTGAGTTGGTTTTGTATTTGCCTTAAAAGAAAAATTATCTCTAGTATAGTTTTCCTAATGACCATTCTAAGAAAAGAAAAAGCAGCTGCATTATGTTATCTATTATAGATTCTTAGTGACTGTAAAGCACTTTTGAACATAGTAATTCAGTGATTTGGAGAGGCTTTACTTGCCTTGTCTAATATAACAGCATGTTCAAAATCATTCTTATTAAGCCGCTCAGCAATTCCAGCCTATGGAAGCGTGAAACTGTTTTAAAGACTTCACAGATCATAAATTGAGCCAGGTGGCTTCTGGATTGTGTTACTGCAAGACACTTCCTGTTAAATAACTGGGTGTGTCTGTGGTTTTTTTTTTTTTTTTTTTATGAAGTTGAGATTCAGTGCCATTCAGACATTTCGGCATAAAGAGCCCTCAAACATTGTAACCTACCACACACTGTAACCTACCACATTGTCACCTTCAGAGGCTATATGAAAGGAACTCTCTAGTAAAGGAAAAATTCAGGAATTCTGAATTTTCTCACTTATTTAATATGTTACTGAGTACAGCATTACATTCTAAAGAAACTGAAAACTGGGTGTGGTGGCTCACGCCTGTAATCCTAGCACTTTGGGAGGCCCAGGTGGGCAAATCACTTGAGGTCAAGAGTTTGAGACCAACCTGGCCACCAACATGGCAAAACCCTGTCTCTACTAGAAATACAAAAATTAGCCAGGCACGGTGGCACACACCTGTAATCCCAGCTACACGGGAGGCTGAGGCAGGAGAATCACTTGAACCCAGGAGCCGGAGCTTGCAGTGAGCTGAGATTGTGCCACTGCACTCTAGCCTGGGCGATAGAGTGAGACTCCGTCTCAAAAAATTAAACAAACTGGAATCATTTTTTGTCAGTAGGCTGGGTGACCCTCTGACAAGTATTGTAACCTGTTTGTAGTGTCAGTGTGTTTAAATGCAGAGGAATGCTAGTCAGTGTGTGCCCATGTATACACAGCTTTATTAGAGTTTTTTAAAACTTGCTTGCAACTTTCCTTTCTTGTTAGTTATGATGAATAAGATGGTTTTTGTTTTAAAATATAGGCAATGGTCACAAAGCTGGATTCTTCACAGCTATGTCAGACCAAAGTATTTTTTGATAACATAACTTAATAGGCCATTTGTATAACCTTGCTTATAAATATCTTACAAATTTTACACTTTGGTTTTATAAATTGTACTCTTTAATAGGCATTAATAGGATGGGGGGTTTCTTTAGGATATATGTTAAACCAGCCAACCTCTTGGCTAGAAAAGATGTAGCAATACCATTTAAAGAAGTTTGCATGAGGTGTATACAGATTTCAGAGAATTCCAGCCTATCTAAAACTTACAGAAATGAATTTGGAATCTTACTGGGAAGCAAATAGCTCCCTTTCACTGATAAGTTTTAGAGTAGTTAATTGGCATGTGACGGATTTGTTTACATAGAGGAACAGGAACCTTAAAAAGTTTTTTTCTTCCACATGATTTAACATTTATTACCCAGTACCTGAATGTAGATCTGATTGTTCTCTAAGATACTACTTTTAAAGCTTAAAAAGATGAGTTTTATGTGGTGTTTGAAAGAGCGTTATGTATCTTGTAGCGTTACATGTTTTGGATTCTTATACCAAGCATCCCTGTCTTTGCAGTTGCCACCAACTACTTGAGAAACAAAAAGAAGTGTCTGTGTGTAGCCAGCCTCCTCCTAGAAAGATAGGAGTCTACTTTGAGAAGTCTCCCTACCTCTTTAGTGCCTATTGGCACAAAGCAAAGTGGTTTCACCTAAAGAGAAGAGAAAGCCAATCCTTAGTTTGCAAAATCCACCTAACCTTTGCTAAGCATGAACCTCATTGCTTTCTCTTTAATGTTAATGAAGCTGGATGTCAAAATGGTGCCAACCAGGATTTTGTTTGTTCTCTTCTAGATATGGTTTTGTGGAGTTTGATGATCTGCGTGATGCAGATGATGCTGTTTATGAACTGAATGGCAAAGACCTTTGTGGTGAGCGAGTAATTGTTGAGCATGCCCGCGGCCCACGGCGAGATGGCAGTTACGGTTCTGGACGCAGTAAGCATTCAAAGGGCATACTTGTATCAGTAACATGCTTTTATTATTAAATGCTAGTTTTTTAAAGTAATTCATTGATATTACATTTTAATGTATTGATGTTTAAGCTATTTGTTTTATAAATTATGTATCTTTTTGAATTTAGAATTGCAAATAAACATATTTGATAATGTTTAATTTTAATTAAATTAATGATTAATGTTTATAATACTTTATGAATATGTTTAATGATGTGTGTTTGTGTTGTTTTTTTTTTTTTCTCTGTAATGCAATTGTTTAACATAGATTTAACAAAGACCTCAATGTTTTAATTAAAAGAATCCTTTGAGGCTAAGATGACTGCCTGTTCCATTTGCTGACCTTGGGTTACCTTTCCATGCGTGGCTCTTTGAACCATTGTGGCCCTTGGCTGACCAAAAACAGGAAGCCATGTGACGACCGCAACCTTTCCCCATTAGACCTGGGTGGTGAGGATCCCAAGGGTTAGAGACAGATGAGATTAAACTGAAATAGGTGCCTGAAAATCTTTTTTTCATATAAAATATTCACAAAATTTTTAATCACTGTGAGTAACACTAGTAACTGATTTAGTAATTTGGTTACTTATTTCTAAATTGTTAAATTGTTAATAGTTTTTAATTTATGCATGTTAATCTTAAATATAAACATTAATGAACATGTGTACTTACAATTTTTTAGATAAAATTAAACGTGTATATTTAGCTGATTGCTTCTGTAAAAATCTGTTTTAGAATTAAGGGTGGGAATAGAGTTAAAACTATGTGCTATCATTTGGGGTGGGAGTAAATAATATATTTGAGGGGGGGTATGTGCTGTGTCTTCTTTTTTCCTTTTCCTCCACTGAACTAATCTTATTTATTTAAACCTTCCAAAGGTGGATATGGTTATAGAAGAAGTGGCCGAGATAAATATGGCCCTCCTACTCGCACAGAGTACAGGCTTATTGTGGAGAATTTGTCAAGTCGGTGCAGCTGGCAAGACCTAAAGGTTTGGGCCCCGTTAACCTTTTGGGGTAAGGTTGGGCAGGAGTTAAAGTTGGGAAACAGGTAGATTTGTGCAGGCCCAGGCATACACAAAATATAATAGTCTTATATGTTTGAAAACATTCACAGAGCTGGAAATAATTAAAGCTTCCATACGAGTCCAGAAAACATCAGAATTGCACTCATACTGTACATTGTGGGACCGTCATTCCAAGGAGAAATCTGTGAGATTGTTTCATTTTATTTTGAGACCGAGTTTCGCTCTGTTGCCCAGTCTGGAGTGCAGTGGCACAATCATGGTTCACTGTAGCCTCAACCTCTGAGGCACAAGCAGTTGTCTGGCCTCGGCCTCCTGAGAGGCAAGGACTACAGGCACGGGCCACCATGCCTAGCTAATTTTTTAAATTTTTTGTAGAGATTGGTTGTCACTATGTTATGTTACCCAGACTGGTCTCGAACTCCTGGCCTCAACTGATCCTCCTACCTCAGCCTCCCAGAGTGCTGATACGACAGGCACATGGCCCAAATCTGTTATATGAAATTTTCCTCTCTAAAGAATGTTTTAAACCCCGTTTCTACTTAAAAAGATACAAAATTTAGCCGGGCGTGGTGGTGAGCACCTGTAATCCCAGCTTCTTGGGAGGCTGAGGGAGGAGAATCGCTTGAACCCCCCAGAGGTAGAGGTTGTAGTGAGCCAAGATCGTGCCACTGCACTCCAGCCTGGGCAACAGAGCAAGACTTTGTCACACACACAAAAAAAGTTAAAAGAGGTGCTGGTGTAGCCAGGCGCGGTGGCTCAAGCCTGTAATCCCAGCACTTTGGGAGGCCGAGGCGGGTGGATCACAAGGTTGAGAGATCGAGACCATCCTGGTCAACATGGTGAAACCCCGTCTCTACTAAAGATACAAAAAATTAGCTGGGCATGGTGGCACGTGCCTGTAATCCCAGCTACTCAGGAGGCTGAGGCAGGAGAATTGCCTGAGCCCAGGAGGCGGAGGTTGCAGTGAGTCGAGATCGCGCCATTGCACTCCAGCCTGGGTAACAAGAGCGAAACTCTGTCTCAAAAAAAAAAACATAAAACATCTGATATATTTGCTAACACCTTGTTTGTCTTTAATACATCAAACAGCATGAACCAGATCACTGAACCCTAGGGCAGCCCTTTGATATTTAAACTAGCCAGCTATCTTGTTCATAATTTTATTTTTACTGGTCAAAGTTACATGCTAAATGTTGAAGCAGGGAAGAGGTGCTGGTGTAGCTACTCACCAATCAGTAAAATAGAAAGGTTGGAACCACCAGCGTTTCCTGCAGCATTTGCTATAACATGCAAATTCACATCAGCTTCATTGTGTGTCCTTACTGGTGAAAACTGACAATCTGACCAATGTTCTCTCATAAGGTTTTTGATGGAATATTTGTCCTGAAAGAGTTTTGATGTCAAAAATCAAGATTCGGTGCTGATATTGGCCATCCAGTGTGCTGACTCCAGTTCTGTTGTTTTTTTTTGGAGGTGACGGAATGGAGTCTCACCCTTTCACTCAGGTTGGAGTGCAGTGGCACCATCTCAGCTCACTGCAGCCTCTGCCTCCCAGGTTCAAATGGTCCTCCTACCTCAGCCTCCCGAGTAGCTGGGATTACAGGTGTGTGCCACCATGCCCGGCTAATTTTTTTTCTTTATATATTTTTATTTTATTTCTTTTTCTCTTCTTTTTTTCCACTCCCTGCCCCTGATTTTTCTATTTTAGTAGAGACAGGGTTTTACCATGTTGGTCAGTCTGTCTCGAACTTCTGACCACAAGTGATTGACCCACGTCAGCATCCCAGAGTGCTGAGATTACAGGCATGAGACACAGCACCTGGCCCCGTTTTTTGACAAAACGTTTTTAATCTCAGAGGGAAGAAATATTTACTGAGTATGATCATAACCTGAATGATCTTAGGATATATGAAATGGGTGTTGTTTTCTGACTCCCTTCTCACTTTTTTTGATCATATTTAAACAAGTCATCTCTAGCAAAATGAGTGAATGTATTTAGGTTCAGTAAAGAATAGTTAGGAATCGTTTACATTTGTGTAGTTTTAATTTAAAGCACTTTTTTTTTCCTTTTTAAAATTTGTTCCCAACAACCTTCAAATAACAGATGAACAGATGCAGAAGAGCTGGGACTAGGAGTCCTGATTCCCAGTCTGCTGTTTGTTCAGGTGTACTGTGCATATTGTCGGCATCATAGCAGACCTTTACCGAATGTCTGCCAGCAAGATTCTGCTTGCTGGGAGAATGACTCCAGTATTCTGAGAGCTAGGAATTGAACTATGGTAAAAACTGGGAAGCTACTCTCTGTGAGTAGAATGCTAACTCCGCATTGACATTAAATGTAGTATTAAGTTAACTTCTTAGAAAACCTCTTAATTTTTTTGTTAAAACGAAGCTTAGTTCCTATCCTTAGTTGACATACTTCTATACCTTCTGGCAGTTCCAGTCTAAGAAAATGAGACTTATACATAATAAAGCAGATTTCCTAGCTCTCAAGCTGTCCAGCTTGGATAGAATCTTGGCTGTGCCACTAAGATCACTTATGTGACCCTAAGCAAGTTGCTTATGTCTTATGCCTCAGATTCCTCAACTATAAAATAGGGTTAATACTAATTTCTGCTCAAGGTTATTGAGAGAATTTAGTGAAATTTTATATATAAAAGTAAACTTTTTTATATATAAAAAGCTTAGGACAGCTTCTGTCACAATGTGTGTTAGCTGTTTATCAGGGAACTGCAAAAAGAAAACAAATTAGGGGATAGTTTAAAAAATAAATTTCTTGGCCGGGCGCGGTGGCTCAAGCCTGTAATCCCAGCACTTTGGGAGGCTGAGGCGGGTGGATCACGAGGTCAAGAGATCGAGACCATCCTGGTCAACATTTTGAAACCCCGTCTCTACGAAAAATACAAAAAATTAGCTGGGCATAGTGGCGTGTGCCTGTAATCCCAGCTACTCAGGAGGCTGAGGCAGGAGAATTGCCTGAACCCAGGAGGCGGAGGTTGCGGTGAGTCGAGATCGCGCCATTGCACTCCAGCCTGGGCAACAAGAGTGAAACTTCGTCTCAACAAAAAGACTTCAGTTTCTGGCATCTTACTGCTTATTTTCAGACCTGGCTCATTCACCGATTGCCTGAATGACCTTGAGTAATTTATTTAACGTCTCTTGATTTTTTTTTTTTTTTTTTTTTTTTTGAGATGGAGTTTCGCTCTTGTTACCCAGGCTGGAGTGCAATGGCGCAATCTCGGCTCACCGCAACCTCCGTCTCCTGGATTCAGGCAATTCTCCTGCCTCAGCCTCCTGAGTAGCTGGGATTACAGGCACCTGCCACCATGCCCAGCTAATTTTTTGTATCTTTAGTAGAGACGGGGTTTCACCATGTTGGCCAGGATGGTCTCGATCTCTCGACCTCGTGATCCACCCGCCTCAGCCTCCCAAAGTGCTGGGATTACAGGCTTGAGCCACCGCGCCCGGCACGTCTCTTGATTTAATTAACATCTCTTGCACTTTTCATATCTGTAAAATAAGAGTGATGATTGTTTCTACTTCATGTGGTTATCACTAGGACTAAAGTTATTAAAATATACCTATCAGGCTGGGCTCAGTGGCTCAAGCCTGTAATCCCAGCACTTTGGGAGGCCGAGGCGGGTGGATCACAAGGTCCAGAGATTGAGACCATCCTGGTCAACATGGTGAAACCCCATCTCTACTAAAAATACAAAAAATTAGCTGGGCATGGTGGCGCGTGCCTATAATCCCAGCTACACAGGAGGCTGAGGCAGGAGAATTGCCTGAGCCCAGGAGGCGGAGGTTGCGGTGAGCCGAGATCGCGCCATTGCACTCCAGCCTGGGTAACAAGAGCGAAACTCCGTCTCAAAAAAAAAAAAATATATATATATATATATATATATATATATATATACCTATCATACAATAAACTTTTGATACATCAGCTGCTATTATTATTAATTTGGAAGTATGGCAGTATAAAACAAATGTACTGACACTCTGCATGCCCTGTGAGCAGTTACCATGTATCTCAACTTGCCAGGGCAGTCCCAGTCTTGGCCTATGAACAGCATCCTTATTTCCTCTCAAATGTATTACAACTTGAATGGCTCCCTGCTTTTTGCCCAGAATCCCTACTCCTGCAAATAATTGAATTGAATAAAGAAATTTTTGTGCCAGAGATATTATTTGCTAGATTATGAATATCAAAAGACTTGTATATAACCTAAATATCTCAATTGGTAAATCCTCAGAAAAAGTGTTAGGCACATTAATTAAGAAAATTGTGTAAAGACATGTAAGCATGTTTATGATGCAAAGAGATAATAAAAATGGTAAAGATATATAAGCATTTATATATCATTTGTTTATGATGCAAAGATAATAAAAATGGTATATATTCACTGTCACTTTGTAAAATACAGACAGGAAGGTAATATACAGAAACTGTATTAAAATTTATATATTCATTTAACAAATAACTATTGAGTTTATATTATATACAAGAAATGGGCCAGGCACGGTGGCTCACACCTGTAATCCCCACACTGAGATGCCAAGGCAGGCAGATCACCTGAGGTCAGGATTTCAGGACCAGTCTGGCCAATATGATGAAACCCCATCTCTACTAAAAATACAAAAATTAGCCAGGTGTGGTGGTGGGCACCTGTAACCCCAGCTACTTGGTAAGCTGAGGCATAAGAATCGCTTGAACCCAGGAGGGCAGAGGTTGCAGTGAGCCAAGATCACACCACTGCACTCCAGCTGCCTGGGCGACAGAGCAAGACTGTCTCAAAGAAAAAAATTTTTTTTAATTTTTGTTTTTTATAAAATGATAGCTAACTGAAAACTTCTGTATTTCTGTATTCACACAAAACTTTCTTTGTTTTGAAACAGGATCTTGCTCTGTTTCCCAGGCTAGAATGCAGTGGCCTAATTTTTTAAATTTTTGTAGAGTTGGGGTCCACTGTGTTGCTAGGGATGGTCTTGAATTCCTGGGCTCAAGCGATCCTCCCACCTCAGCCTGTCAAAGTGTGTGATTACAGGTGTGAGCCACCACACTTGTCCCCAAAGCTTTATTTGAAGGAACGATTTAATATGTATGTATTGTGTCTCCCACCCTCCTAATATGCCTGGTGCTTTAAAGAACCTCAGTACATGGGCCGGGCTCGGTGGCTTGCGCCTGTAATCCCTGCACTTTAGAAGGACAAGGCCAGCAGATTACAAGGTCAAGAGTTTGAGACCAGCCTGTCCAACATGGTGAAACCCTGTCTCTACTAAAAATACAAAAATTGGCCGGGCATGGTGACGTGTGCCTGTAATCCCAGCCCCTTGGGAGGCTGAGGCAGGAGAATTGCTTGAACCCAGGAGGCAAAAGTTGCAGTGAGCTGAGATTGTGCCACTGCACTCCAGTCTGGGCAAAAGAGCAAGACTCCATCTCAAAAAAAAAAAAAAAAAAAAAGAAAACAACTCAGTACATGATTGGTGAGTAGATGAAAATATGTAAGAGTAAACTTTATTCTGAGGAATACTGGCATTTCTTAAAGAAAAGTTCACTCAGATGATTGCATTAGATGTTTTAGCAAAACATCCCCTAATGTAGTCATGCTTTTTTTTTTCTTCAGGATTATATGCGTCAGGCAGGAGAAGTGACTTATGCAGATGCTCACAAGGGACGCAAAAATGAAGGGGTGATTGAATTTGTATCTTACTCTGATATGAAAAGAGCTTTGGAAAAGTTGGATGGAACTGAAGTCAATGGCAGAAAAATCCGATTAGTTGAAGACAAGCCAGGTTCCAGACGACGCCGGTCCTACTCCAGGAGCCGGAGCCATTCGAGGTACTGTTGATGTCTTTTATGTGTTGGAGCTCATCATAAATTCATTAGTGAGCATATAGATGATTTATTTACATTTTCCTGTTGAGTTCTCAATAACATGATTCCACCTGGTTCAATAACTTAGAACTTTGAACTGAACATTTATTTTTATTTATTTATTTTTGAGACAGAGTTTCGCTCCTGTTACCCAGGCTGGAGTGCAATGCTGCAATCTCAGCTCACTGCAACCTCCGCCTCCCGGGTTCAGGCAATTCTCCTTCCTCAGCCTCCTGAGTAGCTGGGATTACAGGCACGCCCCACCATGCCCAGCTAATTTTTTGTATTTTTAGTAGAGACGGTTTCACCATGTTGACCAGGATGGTCTCCATCTCTTGACCTCGTGATCCACCTGCCTCAGCCTCCCAAAGTGCTGGGATTACAGGCGTGAGCCACCGCACCCGGCTGAACATTTATTTGTAAAACTCGTGAACTTCTTAGGTCATAAGTACCTAAGAGTACCAATAGAAGTAAAGTCCCTTCTCTTAGAGGGACTCTCTCAGAAGCCTTGCTGGGTACGGTGGCTCACACCTGTGATCCTAGCACTTTGGGAGGCTAAGGCAGGTAGATCGTGAGGTCAGGAGTTCAAGACCAGCCTGACCAATATGGTGAAACTTCATCTATACTAAAAATACAAAAATTAGCTGGGCATGGTGGTGCACAACTATAGTCCCACCTACTAGGGAGGCTGAGGCAGGAGAATCACTTGAACCCAGAAGGCAGAGGTTACTGTGAGCCAAGATTGTGCCACTACACTCCAGCTTGGGCAACAGAGCAAGACTCTATCTCAAAAAATGAAAAAAATTTAAAAAAATCAGAGGCCTTCTTTCACATTTCTTCTTGGGACACCTAGATACTACCTTGGTTGAGGGCACACATGGCAACTTTGTCTTATTTAGCACCTGAACAGGCCAAGCACCGGGCTAAGCATTGGAGAGGCATAGTAAAGAAGACAAATGACCAGGCACGGTGGCTCACACCTGTTATCCCAGCACTTTGGGAGGCCGAGGCAGGTAGATCACGTGAGGTCAGGAGTTTGAGACCAGCCTGGCCAGCATAGTGAAACCCCATCTCTACTAAAAATAAAATTTAAAAATGAGCTGGGCGTGGTGGCACACACCTGTGTTGTTCCCAGCTACTAGGGAGGCTGAGGCAGGAGAATTGCTCGAACCCAGAAGGCTGTGGTTGCAGTGAGCTGAGATTGAGCCACTGCGCTCCAGCCTGGGCAACAGAGCAAGACTCTGTCTCAAAAAAAAAAAAAAACAGACAAGGATCCCTGCCCTCCTGAAACTTGGTCTAGTGGAAAAGATGAGTATTGAATAAACAGTGCCATTGTGACGAGAAAATGCACACAGCACAAGTAGTCTGGAGAGTTGGCAACAGCTTCCCTAAGGACGTGTTACAGAACTGAGTCCTAATGGATAAGGCAGAGATGGTGAGCAGAGAGAGAAAATGCCTTTCTATCTAGCAGAGAGAAGGGTGTTTTTAAAGGCCTGGGGCGGGGGGAGCAGGAAAAGGTTTTCCAGAGTAGAGAAGCTAATACAGAGAAGGAAAGGGAGGAGAGTTGCTTGAGATAAGGCAGAGAAGGACCAGAGACACTGACCATTGGGCCAGAGCAAGAATGGAAGAGTGATGGGCAGTCATCGGAGACTTTTCAGGTTTTGTTGTTTAGTTCTTTTAACTCTTTATTATGGAAAATTTGAAATTTATGTATGAAGATTACAGAACTCTAAATCACTTCTCTCACTCCTCCAGCTTCAGTAGTTTTTATTTTGCCAGTCTTGTTTCATCACCCCCTCCTGCTTCATTGTTTTAAGGCAAGTCTAGACATCCTGTCATACCACCTACAACTTCTTCAGTATGTATCTCTAATATTTGAAATGAAACCATGATAATATAGCTAGCAAAATTAGGAATAACTCCATACTATGATTTAATATCCAGTTCATATTCCAGTTTTTCAGTTGTTTGTTTGTTTGTTTTAGAAATGGAGTCTTGCTATGTTACCGAGGCTGGTCTTGAACTCCTGGGTTCAAGCGATCTTCCCACCTCAGCCTCCCAAAGTGCTGAGATGACCAGCCCCAGTTGTCTTAAATAGATATTTTTGGCCGGGCGCGGTGGCTCAAGCCTGTAATCCCAGCACTTTGGGAGGCCGAGGCAGGTGGATCACGAGGTCAAGAGATCAAGACCATCCTGGTCAACATGGTGAAACCTCGTCTCTACTAAAAATACAAAAAATTAGCTGGGCATGGTGGCGCGTGCCTGTAATCCCAGCTACTCAGGAGGCTGAGGCAGGAGAATTGTTTGAACCCAGGAGGCGGAGGTTGTGGTGAACCAAGATCACGCCATTATACTCCAGCCTGGGTAACAAGTGCTAAACTCCATCTCAAAAAAAAAAAAAAAAAAATAGATATTTTTGCAATTTGTTTCTTCAAACGTAAAAGTTGAAAGAATAATAATTACCTGTATACCTTCCTCTGGCCTTAATATATAGCATTTTACCTTTTCTCTCTTTGTATGTATGTATTTATACAGGCACACTATATATTTATTTGCTGTAGCATTTGAAAGTAAGTTGTAGAAATTATGATACTTTGCCCCTAAATACTTCAGCATGTGTCTCCCAGAATGAGAATAACCACAGTTCTGTTTTTTTGTTTGTTTGTTTGTTTTGGTTTTGGTGAGATGGAGTTTCGCTCTTGTTACCCAGGCTGGAGTGCAATGGCGGGATCTCGGCTCACCGCAACCTCCGCCTCCTGGGCTCAGGCAATTCTCCTGCCTCAGCCTCCTAAAGTAGCTGGGATTACAGGCACGCACCACCACGCCCAGCTAATTTTTTTGTTTTTTTTTTGTTTTTTTTTTTTTGTTTTGAGGCGGAGTTTTCGCTCTTGTTACCCAGGCTGGAGTGCAATGGCGCGATCTCGGCTCACCGCAACCTCCGCCTCCTGGGTTCAGGCAATTCTCCTGCCTCAGCCTCCTGAGTAGCTGGGATTACAGGCACACGCCACCACGCCCAGCTAATTTTTTTGTATTTTTAGTAGAGACGGGGTTTCACCATGTTGACCAGGATGGTCTCGATCTCTCGACGTTGTGATCCACCCGCCTTGGCCTCCCAAAGTGCTGGGATTACAGGCTTGAGCCACCACGCCCGGCCGTGTTTTTTCACTTAAGAAGATTAATAGTAGCCGGGCGCGGTGGCTCAAGCCTGTAATCCCAGCACTTTGGGAGGCCGAAGCGGGTGGATCACGAGGTCGAGAGATCGAGACCATCCTGGTCAACATGGTGAAACCCCGTCTCTACTAAAAATACAAAAAATTAGCTGGGCGTGGTGGCGTGTGCCTGTAATCCCAGCTACTCAGGAGGCTGAGGCAGGAGAATTGCCTGAACCCAGGAGACGGAGGTTGCGGTGAGCCGACATTGCGCCATTGCACTCCAGCCTGGGTAACAAGAGCGAAACTCCGTCTCAAAAAAAAAAAAGATTAATAGTAATTCCATCAGATCACTAATATTCAGGCCATATTCATGTTTCCCTGGTTATTCCATGGTTGTCTTTATAGCTTGGTTTTTTCTTTACTAGGTTCTAATTCAGTCATACAGTACAAGGAATTTTTAGTGGTAAATCCTAATGTAGTCATGCCTTTAGTCTGGAGCATTTCCCTTAATGACATTTATTTTTCTTAGGTTTGGGTTTTTTGTTTGTTTTTTTGAAATGGACTCTTGCTCTGTCACCCAGGCTTGAGTGCAGTGGTGTGATCTTGGCTCACTGCAGCCTCTGTATCCCTGGTTCAAGCCATTCTGCCTCAGCCTCCCAAGTAGCTGGGATTACAGGCGTGAGCCACCACACCTGGCATATTTTTTTTTAAGCTTTTTAATACTATCTCACATTCTGCATTTATCTGTTTCTTCTTGGTATTATTGAACTTTTATCCCAGAACTTCCTTTATGCTAGAAGTTAGGTCTCGAGAGGTGTGATTGAGATGCAGATTAAACATTTGTAGCAAGAATACTTCATGGGTGATGGTGCCTGAGCAGCTTTGAAAGTTTCCCTGTTTCTGTCATGATGAGGTGGTCTAAGCCCATCTTGTATACTTTCTACTCTATGATTGGAATCAGTCATTTCCCCAAGGAGTCCTGGTTGGTAGAAAATTAATCTACAGTCTGGGTGCATTTAAATTTTTTTTTTTTAAGCTTGGAGTGTCTGTCTCTTTAAAATAGCTCTCTTCACAGTGAAATGAATAGATTGTGAAGGGGGAAAGTGTTGTGGAACAAGGGGAGAGATGATGGTGGCCTGCCCAGGGAGGCAGCAGCAGAGGTGGACAGACGGAAGATTAGGAGGCATGATTGTCAGTGTGTAAGGGGAAAGTCGGGGGAGTTGAGAATGGCTCTGATTTCTGTTATGAGGAACCATGTGAATAGCAGTGGCATCAGTGCACATAAATCCAGCAAAAGGAGCAGGTATTGGGTGGGGGGAGGGGGAGCAGTTAGAATTTCAAGAGCTGATAAGAGGTTCAGGTGAACCATCCAGATGGAAGGTTTGCTGGTTACTTTACCTATGCATCTAGAACCCGGGAGAGAGTTTGTGCCTGGACACAGCCAATGCTATATATATTTGATTGAAAACGTATCTTGGCTGGGCACAGTGCTCATGCCTGTAATCCCAGCACTTTTGAGAGGCCAAGGCAGGGGGAATCACCTGAGACCAGAAGTTGGGAGAAGGCCCATCTCTACTAAAAATATAAAATTAGCTGGGCATGGTGGTGCATGCCTGTAAACGCAGCTGCTCAAGAGGCTGAGGCAGGAGAATCACTTGAACCCAGGAGGCAGAAGTTTCGGTAAGCTAAGATCGCACCATTGCACTCCAGCCTGGGCAACAAGAGCGAAACTCCATCTCAAAAAAAAAAATCATGATTGCTGTTCATCAGCTAGCCTCTTGTCAGCAAGTATTAAAAAATATTTTCTCCCTCTAGGTCTCGCTCTCGAAGCAGACATTCCCGTAAGAGCAGAAGCCGAAGTGGAAGCAGCAAAAGCAGTCATTCTAAGAGCAGATCCCGGTCCAGGTACGTCTTCTGTGGTGTAAGTGGAGGTGGTCAGCAGGGAATGCCTGTACCTTGTCTTCCCTCCTGCCCCCCCCAAAGAAACAGGGTCTCACTCTGTCACCTAAGATGGAGTGCAGTGGTACAATGATGGCTCACCATAGCCTCACCCCACTGGGCTCAAGCAAGGCTCCACCTCAGCCTCCCAAGTAGTTGGGACTACAGGCACATATCACCACACTCAACAAATTTTTTATTTATTTTTATTTATTTATTTATTTATTCCTTTTTGAGACGGAGTTTTGCTCTTGTTACCCAGGCTGGAGTGCAATGGCGCAATCTTGGCTCACTGCAACCTCCGCCTCCTGGGTTCAGGCAATTCTCTTGCCTCAGCTTCCCGAGTAGCTGGGATTACAGGCACGCCCCACCATGCCCAGCTAATTTTTTGTATTTTTAGTAGAGACAGGGTTTCACCATGTTGACCAGGATGGTCTCGATCTCTTGACCTCGTAATCCACCCGCCTTGGCCTCCCAAAGTGCTGGTATTACAGGCTTGAGCCACCGTGCCCAGCCCTATTTATTTTTTTAAAGATGGGGTTTCTTTTTTTTTTTTTGAGACGGAGTTTCGCCCTTGTTACCCAGGCTGGAGTGCAATGGCGCGATCTCGGCTCACCGCAACCTCCGCCTCCTGGGCTCAGGCAATTCTCCTGCCTCAGCCTCCTGAGTAGCTGGGATTACAGGCACACGCCACCATGCCCAGCTAATTTTTTGCACTTTTAGTAGAGACGGGGTTTCACCATGTTGACCAGGATGGTCTCGATCTCTCGACCTCGTGATCCACCCGCCTCGGCCTCCCAAAGTGCTGGGATTACAGGCTTGAGCCACCGCACCCGGCTAAAGATGGGGTTTCACCTTGTTGGTCAGGGTGGTTTAGAACTCCTGACCTCAGATGATCCACCCACCTCGGCCTCCCAAAGTGCTGGGATTATAGGTGTGAGCCACCACGCCTGGCCTAATTTTTAAATTTTTTGTGGAAACAGGATATCACTGTGTTGCCCAGGCTGATCTTAAACTTGTGACCTCAGCTGGACGTGGTGGCTCACACCTGTAATTCCAGTACTTTGGGAGACCAAGGTGGGTGGATCACCTGAGGGTGGGAGTTCGAGACTAACCTGACCAACATGGAAAAACCCTGTCTCTAATAAAAAATACAAAATTAGCTGGGCGTGGCAGCAGATGCCTGTAGTCCCAGCTACTCAGGAGGCTTAAATGAGAGAATCACTTAAACTTGGGAGGCGGCTGTTGCAGTGAGCTGAGATCGAACTCGTGACCTCAGGTAGTCCTCTCAGACTACTGCAATTACAGACATGAGCCACTGTGCCCAGCCTGACTTAGATTTTAGTCATGTGACCAGTCTTCCTTCATTCCTTCACTCCTGCTTTTCCAGCTTCGATTGTTTTTGAGATGGAGTCTTACTCTGTCACCTAGACTGGAGTGTCGTGGCACAATATCGGCTCACTGCAACTTCCGCCTCCCAGGTTCAAGTGATTCTCCTGCCTCACCCTCCTGAGTAGCTTCGGATTTCAGGCAGCCACCACTACCCCCGGCTAATTTTTTTTTATTTTTAGTAGAGGCAGGGTTTCACCACGTTGGTCAGGCTTGTCTCAAACTCCCGACTTCAGGTGATCCACCTGCCTCAGTCTCCCAAAGTGCTGATGTTACAGGCTGGAGTTCAGTGGTGCGATCTCAGCTCACTGCAACCTCTGCCTTCTGGTTGAAGAGATTCTCCTGCCTCAGCCTCTGAATAGGTGGGATTACAGACACATCACCACACCTGGCTAATTTTTTTTTTTTTTTTTTTTTTTTTTTTGAGACGGAGTTTCGCTCTTGTTACCCAAGCTGGAGTGCAATGGCGCGATCTCGGCTCACCGCAACCTCCGCCCCCTGGGTTCAGGCAATTCTCCTGCCTCAGCCTCCTGAGTAGCTGGGATTACAGGCACGTGCCACCATGCCCAGCTAATTTTTTTGTATTTTTAGTAGAGACGGGGTTTCACTATGTTGACCAGGATGGTCTCGATCTCTTGACCTCGTGATCCACCCGCCTCGGCCTCCCAAAGTGCTGGGATTACAGGCTTGAGCCACCGCGCCTGGCCTTTTTTTTTTTTTTTTTTTTTTGAGACGGAGTTTTGCTCTTGTTACCCAGGCTGGAGTGCAATGGCGCGATCTCGGCTCACCGCAACCTCCGCCTCCTGGGTTCAGGCAATTCTCCTGCCTCAGCCTCCTGAGTAGCTGGGATTACAGGCGCACGCCACCATGCCCAGCTAATTTTTTGTATTTTAGTAGAGACGGGGTTTCACCATGTTGACCTGGATGGTCTCGATCTCTTGACCTCGTGATCCACCTGCCTCAGCCTCCCAAAGTGCTGGGATTACAGGCTTGAGCCACCGCACCCGGCAATTTTTTTGTATTTTTTAGTAGAGACAGGGTTTCACCACATTGGCCAGTCTGATCCCAAACTCCTGACCTTGTGATCCTCCCACCTCGGTCTCCCAAAGTGCTGGGATTGCAGGTGTGAGCCCCATGCTCAGCCAGTTTTTTCAGCTTCTGATTGTCATTATGGGGGTTCAAAAAGAAATCCTTAGTTGGTGCCATCCATGCCTCATATGGGGGGCATAACTCTACACATACGTCCTTTGGTCTTTTTATCTCCAGATTAGCATGAAGTCACATGTGACTCAAATATTGTCCCATGTCTCCTCAGGTCGGGCTCCCACTCCCGGAGCAAGAGCCGGAGCCGAAGCAGAGTCGGAGCCGGAGCAAGAAGGAGAAAAGCAGGAGCCCCAGCAAGGACAAGAGCCGCAGCCGCAGTCGCAGCGTTGGCAAGAGCCGAAGCAAAAGCAAAGACCAAGCTGAAGAGAAGATCCAAACAATGACAATGCTGGGAAACCTAAGAGCCGGAGTCCTAGCAGGCATAAAAGTAAGAGCAAAAGTCGGAGCAGGAGTCAGGAGAGGAGAGTGGAGGAGGAGAAGCGAGGGAGTATGAGCAGGGGCAGGAGCCAGGAGGAGGGCAGGGGCCAGGAGAAGAGCCTCCGCCAGAGCCGGAGCCGGAGCCGGAGCAAAGGGGGTAGCAGGAGCCGGAGTAGGAGCCACAGCAAGAGCAAGGACAAGAGGAAGGGCAGGAAGAGAAGCAGGGAGGAGAGCCGCAGCCGCAGCCGCAGCCGCAGCCGCAGCAAGAGTGAGAGGAGCAGAAAGCGAGGCAGCAAGCGAGACAGCAAGACGGGCAGCAGCAAGAAGAAGAAGAAGGAAGACACTGACCGCTCGCAGTCCAGATCGCCGTCCCGCTCTGTTTCAAAGGAGCGGGACCATGCCAAGTCTGAATCCAGCCAGAGGGAAGGCCGAGGGGAGAGTGAGAATGCTGGCACCAATCAGGAGACCCGGTCCAGGTCGAGATCCAATTCCAAATCGAAGCCAAACCTTCCATCAGAATCACGCTCCAGATCAAAGTCAGCTTCAAAAACCCGATCTCGGTCCAAGTCTCAATCCAGGTCTGCTTCCAGATCACCCTCCCGGTCTAGATCTAGGTCCCACTCAAGGTCCTAACTGGCTACGACCACAGCTGGAACTACCCAAGGAGTCTTTTGTACATGTTTGGTAGCCGTAGCACAAGTGATTGGAGTAGAACATGTCACTGCTGTACATTTTTAACTCCCCTAATGGTGTGTCTATAATTGTTAAATCTAAGTGCTTCCTCTCAGTAAAGCCTCCTGGCGCCAGGCCTTCCTGCTCGACTGAAAAAAAAAAAAAAAAATTCTCTTTTGAAAATTCCCTTTTACTCATGGCCCACAGTAGAATATCCAAAACGCCTTGGCTTTCAGGCCTGGCCTTTCCTTCAGGGAGCTCAGTAACCTGGACGGCTCTAAGGCTGGAATGACCACATAGGTAGGTATGGTGAGTTCAACCATTTTTGCTCTTGAATTGATGCCCTTCGATGTATGCCATTTAGTGAAAGTGCTTAAGTCTTAAGTTTCCTACCACTTTGGTTTCATATTTTGGACTTAAACGAAGTTGTGAATAGCACAGTCGAGGAAAATTGATACCTGCAGTAACCCATAGGAAATAAACTGTAGAGTTCCATATTCTGGTATTGTGATTATATTGTTTATATTAAAAAAGAAAAGAAAAGAATTTTTTTTAATTTTATTTTTCCCCGTCTTGCAAAGTATAGTGACCCCTGTTTCCATTAATTTGAATAAAGACTATTTTTGCTTGACAAAATTTCATGGTGCTTGAATTGAAGTTGTACTTCTGATATATCTTGATATGTCTTTTCTTAGCATAAAAGTTCATGTGTAGGCAGGCGCGCTGGTTCACACTTGTAATTTCAGCACTTTGGGAGGCCAAGGCAGTTGGATCATGAGGTCTGAAATTTGAGACCAGCCTGACCAATATGATAAAACCCTGTCTCTAATAAAAATACCAATTAGCCAGGCGTGTGTTACAGGTGGTGTGTGCCTGTAATCCCAGCTACTCAGGCTGTGGCAAGAAAATCACGTGAAGCCAGGAGGCAGAGGTTGCAGTGAGCCAAGATTGTGCCACTGTACTCCAGCCTGGTGACAGAGCGAGACTCCTCAAAAAAAAAAAAGCTAATGTGTCACGATGGTTGTTGTTCCTTGGGATCACCCATCTTAGGGAACCAACACATTCCTAAAGGATTTTTCTCACCCAACAGAATAAAAGCAAGTTTCCAGGAATTTATCATTCTTTCTCTTAAGAAACTTATGGCCAGGCTGATGAGGAATTAATCAGTTTGGAAACTTGGAGCGTTACCAAACAAGTTCTTCATGAATCTGCAGTGCCATGATCTCATCCACCTTAAGATGTGAACTAATCAAAAACCAGTGAGGGGGAAATGTGGTGGTGGTGTTTTTCCTGAGACAGCATTTCACTCTTGTTGCCCAGGCTGGAGTGCAATGGTGCGGCGTCTCGGCTCACTGCACCCTCCACCTCTGGGGTTCAAGCAGTTCTGTTTCAGCCTCCTAAGTAACTGGGATTACAGGTGCGTGCCACCATGCCCAGCTAATTTTTGTATTTTCAGTAGACACAGGGTTTCATCATATTGGTCAGGCTGGTCTCAAACTTCTGACTTCAGTTGATCCACCCGCCTCGCCTCTGAAAGTGCTGGAATTACAGGCATGAGCCACATGCCTGGCCTCCTGGATTACTTTTGTCCTAATTACTCTTGCATTGCCTGTTTGGCCTAGCTCTCTGGGAGGCACCAGAAGTGCAGGGGTTCCAATCTTACCCTTTGAACTGTTGAGGGGCATCAAAGCAGGGAGGAAGCTCGAGGGCTTTCATTACATGCTGGAGCAAAAGTCAAGGAGATTCACTTGACTGCTGCCTGTGAATTTATTGGGGGCTGTCCCTAGGCTTAAAACAACTGTTCCATTGCCTCCTATAAACCCAAAATTTTAGAATGCACTGGAAATAAACAAAAGCAGAGTATCTCTTGCCCTCCTGGAGTTTGTGATCTGGTTGCTAATGATGAAGGCAAAGCAGATGTCAGAGAACAGAGTCATCTAGGATCAGAGAGCACTTGAACTGCTGAACCTTTTGGGGATGTGGGGTGGGAAACATTCCTATTGAAAAAAATCTGTGAGCAAAGCCATGGAGTTGGGAAAGCACAGGGCACTGTGCCCAGGGAACGTGGAGTTTGATAGTGGAGATTTAGAGAAGTTTAACAAAATGTATAGTGTCATAGAGGGCCATAAACACCAGGAAGAGGAATTTGACCTCTGTCCTGTAAGCACTGGGGAACATTGTAAGTATTTGACTAGGAGGGTGCAGGAAGGATGGAGGGTTATGCTTCTGGACCTGACAGCAATGTGAAGGATTGGATGCGGGCAACGCAGCAGTTCAGGGCATGCAATCCCAGATGATAGGGGAACGCATGATCAAAGTCTGTGACAGGAGGAGCAGAAGAGGCGAGACCCAGCAAGACTTGGCAGATGTCCCGGCAAAGGAG